TCCTGCCAGGCTCTTTCTGTGGCCGTGCTCCTCCGGGGGGGGGAGGGCGCGCGCGCGGCCGCGACGGAGACGGCGGCGGGGTTCAGGGCCGGCTGGCCGGGGGGGGGGGGCGGAATTGGTCGGCGTGCACGCGCGTGTGCGTGTGCGGCCCTCCCGCACGCCTCTCCATCGGGCGCGGGTGTCGCGTAGCATTCCACGCCCGGGCCCGGGGGAGGCCGGGCCTGCGTCTTTCGTGTGGCGGTGCTTTTTTTTATGCGGGTGTCCGCGCGCGGCCGGCGCAGGGGGCAGCGGGCTGACCAACGCCGGGGGGAGGCGGAGCCCGACGCGCGCGCGTGCCCGTGTGCCCGCCGCAGCTGGCGCGGAGCCGGTGAGTCAGTCGGCGGCGCCACACCAGGCTCGCGCGACAGCTCCCGCCGGGTTCTTGCCCCTCTTTCTGGGGAGAGGAACGAGGCCAGCCGGGGGGGGGGGGGGGGGGGGTCAGTTGTGTGCGGAGGGAGGGGGGGGGCCTGAGCATGTTGAGGGCGCGCGGCCTCCGGTGAGCCGCACCGGCCGGCCGGGGAGAAACAGGGGCGGGGGGAAGCACCGGGCTGAGCGCGCGCGGCCGACAACCCCGCCCCACGCCCGGGGGCCCGGCCCCCCTGACGACGGTGCCGGCACAGGGGAGGGGCATTCTTGCCTCGGTGCCCGGGGGGAGGGGGGGGAGGGGGGCGGGTCCGCCACCGGGCCTTTCCCGGCGGCGCGGGTGCCCGGTGCGTGGGCGTCGCCGCCGGCGTCCGTGTCCCGTGGGCGCGCCCATCGGCCAGGCCCGATCGACTGGGCGCCTGGGGGGGGGAGGGGGGGGGAGTGCCCGACGGGCCTCCACTCACTGGCGCGCACACACGCCCGCCACCGGTGAACGCCCCCCGCCCCGCACGTCCCCCGGGGGAGGGGGAGGCACATTCCTCTCGGCCCGGGGTGTCCGGGCACGCGCAAACAGCCCGCGCCACCGGGGGGGGGAGAAAATAAAAAACAACCGTCCCCCGGCCGGGCCTCCCCGCCCCCCCCCGCCCCCCCCCCCGCCCCCCCGGGCCGACCGGCGCAAACATTGCACACGCACGCCCCCGTCTGTCTCTCTTCGCCCCGCGCGGACGCACGCCCCGAGGCGGACCCCGCCCGGGGGCGGGGCAGACGGGGCAGGCGCCCGGGCGCGGAGAACTGGCTCTGACCCCGGCACGCAGGCAGATGCCAGCTCTCTGCCGCCGGGCGGGGAGCCGCCATCCCCCTTGGGGCGCGCGGCAGAGCACGGCTCCGGCGCCTGAAACAGGGACCTTATATTGGTGACACATATGTGGGCCCTACGCGGCCGGTGGCCGGCGGCGCCGGCCGGGCGACGCCCGGGGGACCGGCTCGCTCGCTCGCGCCCTTTCCCGCACGTTTTGCCCCTGGTCCGGCCGATCATCCGCCTTGCCGGGCGTTTCCCGGCCCCTCGCCCCGCCCCCCCCCCCCCCGCCTGTTTGTGGCGTCCCTCTCGCTGCCTCGTGAGCCGGACCCCGAAGCAGGGCACGGGGGGAGGGGTCGACCTGGTGGAGGCGCGTTCCGCCGGCAGCGGCCCTTGCTCCGCGCCCGGGGCGGGACGCCGGGCGGAGGGGCGGGGGGGGGGGGGCTCTGTCATCATTCCTCGATCTTGCCATTTCTCTCGCGGCGTGCGCCCGGCACCGCACCGACCGGCCCGGGCCGCAGGCGACAACTGTGGGAATTTCACGGTCCCCCTCCTGCCCCTCCCCCCCCTATCCAGGGCACCAAGCCCCATCTCGCTGGCACATGGAAGGCATCCAGCCTGGCGATTTGTCACCGGGCGGTTCAGCCCTCGCCCCCCCCCCCCCCCCCGGCCAAGCGGCTCCTGGTGTCGAGATCGGCCCGGCCGGGCACGCGGGTAAACGGCGCCGGGGGCTGGCGTCCCGGCCCCCCCCCCCCCCATTCTGCCGTGTCCCCATCCCCCCCCCCTCCCTCCCCCCAGCGCGGCCGGCCAGGCGCGCCTATTGTGTGGCCCCCGTGTCTCTCTCTCTCGCTCTCTCCCCCCGCCCCCCTGAATGACACAAGGGTGAGCATGCTTTCGCCGCACGGGCGGTGTGTTGGGCGCGCCAGAAACGGCGGCCACCCGCACAGCGCATGCCTCTCTGCATCACGTGCGGATATTGTCGGGAGCTTTCGATCACACGGAAGGAGAAGAGTCCCTACAGTCCCCACAATCTCCACCGGTTTTCTTGCGACATGTCTCGTGCGGACGGGACACCGGGGCCTGGAGACGTGCATGTTTGTCTCTCTCTCTCTCTCTCTCTCTCTCTCTCT